CTTTTAGAGGCTGAGTCAGCCCCAGTGCCATAGTGTGGCTGGAAGGATTAGGTCAATTGAAAAGTCCAATGACCTCATTGGGATTCAAATCCTTGACCTTCTGCCTTGTAGAAAAGTGCCTCAACTAATTACACTACTGCATATACTTAGAACTTTTAACAGCAGTAAATGAAGAGAATGAAGGTAATTAAGATCTCATTGCACAAAGTTCATATCGCTTGACAGGATTCTGAAGCAATGCAACCCTCAACAGCTTAACTCATGTGTGTGTCAGATTCCAGAATGCATGGTCATAATGAAGCAATTCAAAGTGATATAGTCCAAGGCCAAGGGCTTTCAACTATTGTGGCATTTTAAAATAACGAAAAGATTTTTTATAATGTTGTATTTTAGTGTCCTGTTGCACTGATCCTCATCCATGGTATGTATATAATGACCGTCTTGTAGTGCACTCAATTTCACATGTCGCTTCACTACATATTTCGGCAACATTGTGCAATCCTCAGGTGCTTTATTTAAGCTAAGCTCGCAGCCAAAAACGAAAGACACATCACAAGACACAGTACACAAAAATTATAGGAAAAACGACTCCCATAGTGGAAGAACGATACAATACGTGAATTTGAATTAAGACACATAAGATGAATAATCTTAACAAGTTTTAGGGTATACAAATTTTATTATAGTTGATGAAGAATGTACATTTTAATAATTTTATGAAAAACACACGATGGCAATCAATGCAATAGCTTAGCAATAGCCTCGAGCAACTGAGGTCAGTTTTTGTGCATTTTTCTGCACAGATTTTGCATAAAGTCACGATAATAAACTACTGTGACACTTTTCCCGCATGGAAGTCTGTCTGTCACGATCGGTCACGATCGTCACGATCATTCCTTTGCGATCATAAGCAAAGATCNTGAGATCGTCAAAATTTTTTTGGTCGTGGGGAAGATGGACCTCTCCACTCGTTGGACTGTGATTTCAGCTGTGGATTTCTGTCGGGTATTTTCCACGTAAATTTTCGATCTTAATGTACGACCTTTGATCTTCAACAGTCACAATACCCGAGAACCGTGCAGGCTCCATTTCTAACTCACGTTATTTAAGAACAGAGTACATTATAAATGAAACAAACTAACGCGCTTCTTTCTCAAGCCCTGAACTGTGACTGACGTGAGACCCACTGTTGTTGCGTCATCTAATCCGCAGTGTTGCCAACCTGTGCATTATTTATGAAATGACCCACGTATTATATTATATTAATAGAAAACTCTGTGGCCTGTAGTCCACAAGCGAACTCGACTGACCGAGCCACTACCGCTTGGCGACGAAGTTAGTGCCAACTTTAGTGGAAAGAGCGTGCCGCGTGGTCAGCGCAGAGGATCCCCACGGCAGTTAATAGAAATTTTCCTTCGAATAGGTCTCGCCTGGGTGATATTCTTACTAAAAAACTATTAAAAGAAAGAATAGAAAATCAGTTTTCAAAAATATATATAAATCTCTCTTTGACTTGTTTTCTTTTGTCTGATAATTTTGAACATCCTTAATCGAACCATGGCTTATGCTTCGTCAGTTCATAATAACCTAGACCCTCTTTGGCAGAAATGTTGATCTTTTCTCTAATATTAACATCAACCTCAGTGTCTAAGTTTTCCAAAGCCAGGAACCTATTTAAGATTTCAACACGATACTGCTCTTTACCCTCTACCTCGTTTCAATTCTTGAGGTCGAAACTCTCCATGTGAATACTGTGCGCTATTTGTTTGCTCACTGCCAGTCTTTCCCTAAACTTTGCCACCACCAGGTAATGGTCAGTAACACAATCTGCTGCCCTGAATGATCGGACATCAAGTATATTTGAGTGCCGTCTCCTATCTATCAAAATATGGTCGAATTGTTTGTGTCTTCGCACCAGGAGATATCCAGTTACATTTTATTAAAAATAAAAATAATGGAGTTATTATTTTCAAACTAAGTATAGATTTCGCTTGGCGTATGACAGCAAAAATTAGAGAAAATAAACAGAAAAATCATTTAAGTGTAGCTAGAACACGCGTTGCCTAGAATAAAAATGCCTTGAGAACAATAAAATATAAAAATTATACTAAAATAATTTATCTAAACTACGTCCAGATTCATTCTCAACTGAATTAGAGCCGTCGTCACAAAAAATATATTAATATTGGAAATATTTTCTCGAACACGCCCTGTCTGGGCTATAAACTTACTAAAAAATAAATAAAAATAAAATTACAACAGCAATAAATTTTCAAAAATGCATATAGATCTCGCCTCGACTGTGTCACAGCCATAATTAGAAAAAATGAAAAAATATATACACTGAGTCTTGAATACGCGACGCCTATATTAAAGCCCCACACAAAAAATTATAAGCATGATACAGAAATAATTTATCTAAACTAAGTTGCGATTCCTTCCCCATTATATTACTGTTTTCGTCAAAAAAATATAAACTTATTTATCATTAATGGTAATTTTCTCTCGAACACGCTTCGCTTTGGTTTCGTCCTTACTAAAAAATAATAAAAAATAGCCTTTTTCAAAGAAGTATATAACTCGCTTGGCCTGTTCACAGCCATAATTATAAAGAAAAGAAAATTTATCTAATGTGAGACTCGACACCGCCTCACCTAAATGTTAAGACAAATCTAAAAATAATACAGAAATAATTTATCTAAGCAGAAACGCGATTCACTCTCCACTCTAGTACAGCACTCATGACAATAAATTAAACAAAATAAAACATATGTATTATTAACGGAAAATTTCTATCGAGAATGCCTCGCTTGGGTGGTAGCCTTATTAAAAATTTGTTAACACTAGAAATAACACATTAATAATTTTTCAAATTAAGTAAAGTTATCGCTTCCCCGTGTCACAAATACAAAAATAATTTAGCTAAACTGCGACTAGAACTCGCCTCGCCTAAGATTTCTTTCCCTTCTAGAAATAAACTGCAATCTGCGAAGTGGAACCAGGAGTACAGAATACAGGCGGTCTGCCTGTGAGGATGTGACGTGTGACTGAAAGATTTTGTGTATTATGTGCTAGTGAGTGATAGCTGAGATGTGAGCAGTGAAGTTTTATTGTGTGAATTGGAGGCTTTATTTGGAGCTTGTGATTCACTGAGAATGAATACGAGGAAACTAGTGCAGATGAACTGAGAAGATAGGCGCGTAGTGACTGTAAGTTGTGTAAATCAGTAAGTGTTAGAAGTAATTGTACTTACGAACTGTAAGTGGTTCTTATTAACAATGACCAATCCAAACCTCGCTTCAGTCGCCCAAACCCTTTACAACGTATAAGAAGAGCCAGTTGCTGGCTTTGCTGCCCCTAACCTTTACCCAAACCGTCATATAGCTGTCGTCACCGCAATTTGACAGTGGCACAAACAAAATCCTAAAATCCTGATTTTTCCTAGTAACAATTTCTACTCTGTAGAGGTCTGAGGGAGAAAAGTTGGGATGGTAGGAATTTTAAAATTGTATTTCCACTTTCACCTGGTTCGGCGTGTGTTCAGTAACTTGGCCAGCGTTTACCTACAGTGTGTGTAATTAGGCATATTTTAACTCCTCAAGCGAACTATATCGACTGAGCGACAGCCGCTTGTCGGCGAAGTTTAATGCCAACTTTTGAATATAGGCTTATTAGAGAAAAAATAAATCTCATTATTACATCAGGTATCTGGAACTGCCTAACCGAATTTCGCCTATTCCGCCCAATGTTAAATCTAATCAATTGCTCTTTCTAAATTAGTCATCCAAATGAATCAAGTAGAAATGCCTTTCGAATTATTTCGGATGACCCGATGTCCTGGGCAGTAAGAAGTAAGTATCCACCGCCTGAGCATTCTCTTTCTGTCTCAGCACCCCGACCTGACTTCGCCATTCATTCATTCGTTCATTCATTTATTTCATTTCCATCGTCTTGATCCATCAAGACGATCAAGACCCCATGAACTGGTGCGCGTGCCGCTTGCTACGTTACTCTTTCCTAAGTTTTTATTTTAAATTAGCGAACACGAATGAACGACATGGTTTCAATAAAGCCGTTCTGTATGCCAGTCTTTCCCTGATCGTATAAACCGTATAGACTGCGAATCACGAGTCAGCGAGATTCTCATTACGACTCTCGTCTTCTGGAATTGTGAGGCCGTGCTGTTTGGTACACAGGTGTCAGCGTTTCTGAGGAACCGTTTGCCTCATTTTCAGGATACAATAGTGATTGTGATCTCGTTAATTTAGTTTCGGATGAATTTCCAGTCTTCCATGTTTGTTGTAGAAGAGCGGGTTGTCTCATAGGTATCTAGAAACGTTTCGTGGCCTCCTTCTTCAGGCCAGAACATGGGATGTTAGCCGTTTAGCCTGTTAGATGTTTGCATGGGGAAATCTGATGCCTCCAGTAACGTTTGAGAGGAAAGTTCTGTCTCCAGCCTTAGGATTAGAATAAAAAAGTGTCGCCGTGTAGTTTACCAAATTACTCGACGCGAGTCCCAGAAGACGAACTTTGTAGAAATAGGTGGAGTTTCCTGTGTCGCTATATCGACTGCGCTTCTCGGGCTCCCTCAGTATTGTTTTTAGGTCTCAGTATCCATTTAGAAGTTCTCGCCCATCTCAATATACAGGTCCACAGTGAAACAATTTAAGGACAGAAAGCGTAATAATTTCTTCCCAGAGGTCGTTGTTGGTGGTATTCACCGTATTGACATTACACGAAAAGAATCCCACGGCCAAATCCTAACACCCAATATTGAAGTAATAAAAAAATCTGTCCCGAATTTGTAATTTTCATGAGAATGGCGATAGATAATTCTCTATTGTGGGGAAAAAATAAATATAAATGCAAAAAAGGCCTTGGAAATGCCCAACATGATTACGCGACAGATAACAAACAGGTTTTTGGCAGATCCATCTGCTGTGCTACATGTACACCAGCCCGTCCAGTCCAGTCAGCTGTGATGACTGTGATCGCTGTGATACAGAGGCCACCGGAGACCACGAGTGACCACGACCCCTACGATTACAACCATTAAAACAAACTCTTGCGACGTCGGTACTGGGCGGTTCTGGGTATATGGATATTACACCTTAGCTGAAAGTGTGTAAGTTGTGGCTGTTCTTAGGGAATCATTCGAGAGAAATTCGATTTCCTCATATTTTGAGAAATTCCCCGATATTATTCCGCTGTTGCAAGTTCTATTTGGGTATCTGCTAAACTCCGCAGCGCCCATTCTGAGGGTGATGTTTGTAGTAGAATGCACATTTTTACTGTTTTATGCACATTCTCGCCTGTTCCACATACTAATCCGACTTATAAAGGAAGTCCTGAAAGCTGATCGTGGATGGTGAACAGGTTGAAGTTGAAGGGCATAAAAATGCATTTTTCGGCCATGCGATGTAAATATATAGAGTAGGTTTGCTGTTTGTAGGACGTAGCTCCGTGCAGTCTGGTAGGCTTGCACCGACGTTTTGGAAGCAAGAGGTTCAGTTAGAGTGGGTGAACTGTCTGCCCTCAAAACTAAGCAACAATTTGTTAAGACTACACAACGTGTAATAAGGCACAAAGCTTCATAATCTCTGCTGGCCTCTGTTGTGAGAACGAAGAAATGCACGTCACTTTATAACTTCTGTATCACTGTAGTTTTATATATGTACAACTTCTATATCACTAGGATTCTTGTAAATCAATTCATTTGTCACCCACAAAAGCATCATGTGTGATAAAATAAAGTTTCAAGATTATGAAAGATTCTGCATTCTCTTGCAGCAGGAATGTCGAGAATTCTGCTACAAAGAGCTGAAGAAACATTTCCTGCTGAGACAGAAAGGATGGTGAGTGTTTTGTGCTTGTGTGCACAGACAAGAATTTTGTCATGAGTCAGTTCTCGTTTCTTAAGAAACTAAACTCTTTATGCCAAGCTTTTGTTTGTTTTCATAATCCATCTGGGGAGTTTACTTATTTCATAACATTATAACAGTTTGCTATGTTATGTGGGAGAGGAATCAATTCAAGGGGAGTGATAATGGGTAGGTTCATATAGCACACATGTGAGAATGAGAAGTGTGAACAAAGATTTTGACAGAAGGCCTAGTACAATGAGACCACTTGGGAGACAATTGTGAAGATGGATTTTTGGATGGGGTTTTGGACTGGGTTTGTTTGTGTCAGGATGGAAAGTCATGATAGGTATGTGTGAACTCAGTAATGAGTGCTTAGGTTCCATAAAGAGCAGATACGTATTGTCTGTACTTCCACAGGGACCACAGGTTTCTCAGGAAGGTCCCTGCATTGTGAACTTAACACTTGCTAAGATTATGAAGTGTGTAGAGGAGAAATCTGTAAAGTGCAGCTTTTATGGGTTACATATAATGAGAAACAGCTACAGCAAGGAGAGCATGTATTGTTTCATGTATGGTGTTGTACAGCCATGACTGATAGAGGATGTGATGCCTTTACAGAACTGTACAAATTCAGAGAAGGTTCTAGTGGGTCCATATGGTGAGACATACCCAGCAAGTCATGATGCAAACCAGGCCATGAATATAAAAGCTGAGGAAGTCTCAGATGCAGAAGAGGAAGCAGATCCTCTGCAAATAACAGTTCAGAAGATAAAGGCTGAACCTGAGGTGAGCTGTATGCTTCTGTATGTCCACTGTTAGGCAGATATTACAGATAGGCAGTAATTGCAGTTGTCTCTCTCATCTCCATCTGTCTGTGCTCATGGGACAGCTCCACTATGCTGCTGACTCGCCTTTGAATGTCTTTTTGTGAAGTGTCTAGACAGTTGTAGTTTGTTGAATGTATGCTGCTTGTGATGTACCACTTCCATTTCCTTTTAAGCAGTTCTGACGTAGATTAAATTGAATTATGCATAAATGGAACGGTGTTTGAGATAAATTCTGCGGCAGCAAAAATCCTTAGGGAGTGACAGAACTGTTCACAGTTAGTTACTGGTACACTTCTTAGAACTAAGAATTTAAATTACTAGGACTCTTTTATGCTAATTACAGTGAACTTCACAAAGTATTTATAATGTGATTAACAGGTTTCAAGATTACAAACGATTCTGTGACTGTTTTGTGCTTGTGTGCACAGATAAGAATTTTATTATACTTCAGTTCTCTTGGTCAGAGAAAGTAAATATTTTGTGTCCCGCTTTTGTTTGCATAATCCATTTGGACAGTCCCTTACACTTGGGTGATAATGGTTTGGGATATTATGTAGGAGAGCAATGAGTTCAAGGAGAGTGATTTGGGTAAGTCATGTAGTGCCCATTCAACAGTGAGAAATGCATACAAAGTTTTGCACGGAAAACTTGAGAGAAGCAGACCAGTTTGGAGACCTAAGTGCAGATCGAGAGATGCTATTAAGATGGATTTTAAAGAAATAATTTGGAAGGATTTGTACAGGGTCTGTTTGCCTTAAGGTGGGAATACACGAGCGCACCACTGCTGTAATGCAACATAGATTGAACAGGATTCGCGACTTATTTGCCCTTGTTTACGTGACTTTGAACACATGCAGCGCGTGCCTCAAATGCCATGCAGCGATATGGTTCCTGTTGGTTTTTCTGACGAACAAAAAGGGATTTGTTGCCGCAGTGTGTTCGGGTTCGGTTGCGATTTGTCTCATGAAGTGCACACGCCTCAACCGTGGAGTGGTCAGGAGAAGATATTTTGGGGCTCATAGAGGCAAACAAATAATTCCCTCTACTCTGCTATAACTACCGCAGCACCACTGCAGGCAAGTAAAGCTTCCTTGTCTTCCATGGTCATGTGGACGGCGAAGACAGAATGGAACTGAGGTGCTCGCAGCTTGCGTGCCCCATTAAGATGGTTCGTTGCGTGCACGTTACTTGTTCGAGGTGCACCAAATCACTCCACGCATCACTTATAATGCCACGTTAAAGCCGTGGCGTGCTCGAGTATTCCCACCTTTAGGAGGCAGAGCCATGATGAGCATGTCTGAGCACAGTAATGAGCTCTTAGGTAGCATAACTAACTCCATCGAGCTGAGTGAGTCCTTGAGAAGCTAGTTGCTTGGCCACAGAAGATTTTCCCAACAGTGTACAGAACCTGGAATTTTATTCACGTGTTGGCAAAAACCCGTCACACGTCCCTATCCTGAGCCATTTGAATCCAGTTCACACCACCCCATCCTATGTCTCTTAAAGATTCATTTAAATATTATCTTCCCACCTATGCCTAGGTTTTCCTATTAGTCTCTTTCATACTGGCTTTCTCGTCAAATCCTATATGCATTCCACTTCTCCCCCACACCTGCTATATGAGCTGCCCATCTCATCCTCCTTGTCTTGATCATATAATTATGCTTGGTGAACGAAGGTTACAAGTTGTGAAGCTACTCATCATGATGATTTTACGCACCAAAACAGCAGATGTTTTCTGTACTGCAACAGTGACGGATAGTTCCTCGGGAAGGTCACTGAGCTATGGACTGAGTACTTTCTAGTGATCATGATAGCTGTAGAGAAGAGCATGTGTACTGCTGCAGTGACCGATAGTTCATCAGGAAGGTCACTTAGCTATGAACCGAGTACTTTCAACTGATCATTATAGCTGTAGAGAAGAGCATGTGTACTGCTGCAGTGACCGATATTTCATCAGGAAGTCACTGAGCTATGAACTGAGTACTTTCTACTGATCATGATAGCTGTAGAGAAGAGCATGTGTACTGCCTCAGTGACAGATAGTTCATCAGGAAGGTCACTGAGCTATGAACCGAGTACTTTCAACTGATCATGATAGCTGTAGAGAAGAGCATGTGTAATGACCGATAGTTCCTCGGGAAGATCACCGAGCTATGAACCGAGTACTTTATACTGATCATGATAGCTGTAGAGAAGAGCAATATTATATTTAAGGATCCTGTTGCACTCTACACGATAAATGACGTAAACTCTGTCCCAATATATTACTTGTCCTTGATTTTGCTCTCCTCTGCACTACATGTTTCGGCCTGAAACGGCCATCATCAGGTGTATACACTCACGTTGCTGTTACACTGCGCTTAGATTAATATTTAACATTTAAAAACACATTGTTCCTTTCCTTGTTATTATGAACATCTATTTCGTTGATATCTGGGTTATAGATTATTTTACACACGTTAATATTGATTTTCTTGTGGTAGCACTATAAAATCTTTAGTTCTAATTTATAAAATCCTTTAAAATGTTTCTCTAAATTTTAAAATTCAAAATTTAAAATTGTTAGGGTTACTCGCCCTATGTCTAAAGTGCTGAAGCAGCTTGTTCTTGTTTCCACACTGTATAGGTGTTATTCTGTGTAGTCTTCCTGTGTGCGTGCCGTTGTGTGCTGAGCATACATGGTATCTCTGTTTTTGGAAAGAGACTATCCAGGAAAAGTGATAATGTGGTAGTTTTTCCATTTGCTTTCCGCATCGCAGTAGAGCAGCTGTTCAAACCACTCTGATCACGCCTGTTGCTATATGAACTTGAACCATCTTGAGCATCATTTGCTCTGTGCTTCAAGTCGCTACTGATGACGCTGCTTCCGGCATCAGTTTTTGGTGTCTCTCTTGGTCTGATGCCTACCCTTTGACCTGTCCAGCAAGGGAGGCCCTGCCAGTAGCTACACTACTGCTGGTATAGCTCTTAGGGTCCTTGGAAGAGTTACATGCTCAAAGACAAAGCATGCAGGAGACCCTAGAAGAGAAACTTGGTGCAATTGAAGGTGAAAGCGGAAATGCTGAAGCGCAGTGGAACAATATAAAAGAATGCATGTTAGATACTATCAGTGATTTGGTTGGTAAAGTTGAGAAGATAGCAAGAAAACCATGGGTTACACAGGAGATGATGAGTAAAATGGAGGAGCGAAGGAAATGGAAGAATGTCAACAATGAAGAAGGCAGGAGGAAATGAAGGAGACTGAGGAATGAATTGAAAAGAGCCACGGACAGGGCCAAAAAGGAATATCTTGAGAAGATATGTAATGAGATTACAGAATTTCAAAGAACAAGACATTATGATTTGATGTACATGAAGGCAAAAGATCTAGGATGGAAAGAGAATCATTGGATTAAAAATTTTGGCATCGAAAACCCCCAGGGGAATAGAATAGTAAATCAGAGGCAAGTGCTGAAAATTTGGGAAAATTATATTATAGAACTATATGATCGACCTAATCGGCCAGAAACCTTAGAAGTTGAACCGGAAGAAGAAGTAGATACAGACGAGAAAGGACCATATATTTTACAAAGTGAGGTGGAAAAAGCTAT